CTTTCACCTACTTCAGTTTCATCTGCCAACAATACATTTCCTTGTCATCATCCCTGAAATCTCCATATTTATTATCATCAACTGACTATCACTGCACCTGACTTCTTTATTTCAAACCTCAGTGTAAGAATGATGAAACTGTTTATGTAGCTGCTGTATTAAATCTCTTTTTGGTATTTATCCACTTAAACATGTTTTTTGATACTCTGTCTCCAGTGAATTCTCATTTATGCTTCTTTACTCTCAATAAGCCAGAGCCTAATATGTTACCACAGAGCTGTGATCCAGAACAAATTGAAGACTTCATGTGGGTAACCTGCTCAGAGACACTAATGGTTTGTTTAATATTTCATAGATATGTCAATTATAAATTCAGTTCATATTTGAAAGGCTTCTTTGCACAGCACTAAAACACTTTACATTTCCTGTAAGGTCTTTATGAGAACTGAAAGGCAAAGGTGAATCTGAGGTCACATGGGGTTGCATCTAGACATTTCCCTATACTGGCTCCAAAAGATCTGCATCCCAAGAGCAGGCATGCACTCTCTGTGGCAAAATTCCCATTTAGGAGCTTGACCCAAACATCATCAAAGTCAGTGGATGTAACTCAAAGCAAATTCAGGTACAGAATCACAGATTTTGCACAGGTAAGTTTGAAAAGTTTCCTTTTACTTGAGAATTCGGTATCTCCAGGTGAGCCTTAGGTATTTTTCATGGTAGCGAAGAATATGAATGTAAGGTTTGGGTGCTTTGAATATCCAGCTCAGGTAGCGGGTGAGAACATGCCCCAGTCTGCCCTTTGTGCTTGGATTTTTATTTTTATTTCCTTGTGAATCTCAGGTAGAGCCTGCAGAGAGAAAGAGAGTTGGGTGTGCCTGGGACTCTTCAAGGGGCTATGGAAACACTCCTGCACAGCTGCGGTCAAACATCTGTTCCACTATTAAACTGACTGGTCTACTATACAATTAAGCATAAGGTAAACCTCCCAGGGATCTTTGTTTCTCCTCTGAATCAAAGAAAGGAAAATCCCAGGGTAAACAGACATTTCTGAGAACAACTGGTACAAAGACCAGGGAAGTCAGTGGAAGACTTTAAATCAGATTTTGACATAATTACTCCCAGAATCAGGTCAGGCTTCACAGACTTGAGCAGTTTTCTGTTACTCTCTTAATATGGTTCTCCTAGCACCCTCCTCTTCTTCTCTACTACCTTCATTCAAATATGCCCTGACTAGCAGCTCATTTGTACTGATGGCTTAGTCCTTTCTTCCTCATTGTCAAATGGTTTGTTTACCTTTCAGAAACTGCAGCAAGCACTGGTTACCATTGTATCGTAATGTAAGGAAAACTTTTAACACATGCAGAAGGGGGGAGGGGGGAGAGAAGTTGCATCAAAATAGATATACATATATATTTGTACCTGTTAATTATTTAAAACTATTACTCAGGAGTTAGAGTAACCTTTTAAATGGTCCAGTGATCAATGTTGTAACAGGTAGTCTTTGTAAAGCGGATAGGGCCAGATCCCAAGAGGCAGTGAGCACTCTTGACTGTAACTGATGCTGATAGGAGCTGCTAGTACCCAGTACAGGCAGTGACCTTCATCACGATAGGTCATTGAATAAAACATTAATTTAAAGCATCCTGGAGATGCTGTGTGTGACTTGATCTCTATTAATTTCATCACTGTCTCACCTCTGGTGTTCTTTCGGACACACTGGAAAGCAGTTTTAGCTAATGATCCACAAGACAGTCTGCTTTCCCTCTTTAAGTAGAACAGTCTAACCTCGTGTTGAACAGCTGTGCTTTGTCTGCACTAGAGCATTTGTTCTGTCCAAGTGACTAATTCCTCCTTTCACAAGAAACACTAACTTACCCAGTCCAAATGTTCAAAACTAAACCTGACCATCCTGTCAGTCATGTGGTAAGGAAGCAGACCTGTGAAGGGTCAATTTATTCTCAGTAATTCTGACATGTAGCATAGTCTCTTCAATGAAGACACAAAAAGAGATGCAGGAAAGAACATGAGTTGCCTAACCAGAAAGCCTCCCACAAATGACTCTTATTTTTATCCTGTGCAAGAGGAACATCAGCTTTCAATCTGACTGCACACACAGATTTCTTTGTTAGCACATTGGTAAGAGGTGATATTTTCAGCTGTAGGGTGAACATCTGCTTGTTTGCGCCCCCCTTCTTTGTCTCTTTTACTTGTGACAGTTTCAAAATGACTGAGTACATACAAGCAATTCTTTCTTCATTCAGGAAAGGGAATTTTAAACACTGTACAAACAGTAACAAGCAATTAATATTCTGCAGAAATCAACCTACTTTATCACAACAGAAGAGGGCAACCTAATACCATCTCACTGTTTTGCGTCCACTGTCCCTTCCTCATGCCCCTCATCAAAGCAGAGTGTAGCACCTTGTCAACAGTGCTAAAGTGGATGAAGAATTTATATCCAAGAATCTTTTCAAAGCTAGGAGCATCACTCATAATACCCATATTTTCTTTCTTCTCCCACATTTCCATTTCTGTTTGGATATGATTGTAACTGATGAAGTACCTCCTACTAGTTTTTTTTTTTTATATATATATTTTGGTAGTAGTCGTGGTTTTGGGGGAGGTTTGTTTGATTGGTTGGTTGTTGTGTTTTTTTGTGGTTTTTTTGTTGTTGTTGTTTTTGGTTTTTTTGTTTTGTTCTGTGTTTTTTTTTTTTGGGGGGGGAGGTTTGTTTTTTGTTTTTTTATTAGATCATTTGGATTCTATTTAAGACAACTTTTCTCTTTTGGGCACTAGGAGAAGCAGAAGGTGCAGGTGCTGAATTGCCACAACAGCAACAGAGGTGCCTACTGTCCTCAAGCACGTGAAGTTCTAGGAAGATGTAGGCATAGTTTAAAGGGTTCAAAAAGTACCTAAATGAAGACAATGAAGAATAAATAACAGCTGAGAAAAAAAGGAAGAAAAAGAGAATTATGCGTAGATGATACCACTATGTTTTGCACTATTAGAGATTTAAAGTACCCATAATCCCCTAAACTGATCATTGTAATGAAGTTTGCTATGAAGCATGAAGGTATTTTTGGATTTTTCCACTTTTGTTTTCACCTTTCAGAGGTAGAAGTATGAAAAGAGCCTGGAAATATCACCACAAACAGAGTTGTAAGGGTAAAATTGAGAAATACATGCATATTTATGGTAATCTGAGGTACCACTGCTATATTTGTTGCTTGGCTGTATCTAAATAGAAAGGATGCAGGATGAAATGGAGAGTCTTTGGAAGGAAATGCTTGTAAAGAAGAAAACAAATGAAATTGGAAATAGAAAGAAACAGAAGTAAAATAAACAGAAATAGTGGAGCCCTTGATTATTACTCAAGCAAAGGGGGGATGTGCAATCACATTCATCTGAATGCAGAATGCTAAATATATTTACTAATATAGTAGCAAACCAAGTATCTAGTAGTTCACTCAAGGCAGGTTTTGAAATTTATCTAAGTATCAAAGATGCAGGTACGTGCCTGGCACATTCTTCCATGGCATGCACATACATAATACATTAAAGGGGAGTCTCAGAGCAATCTTTTTGTTACTCGGGATAATATATTTTAGTTACTGTACAAATAATAACAGCAAGCCATTGGGATCCCTTAACTGCTGAAAATATGCACCTTTTTGTGCCTCAATACTTGTTTAATCTGTTCACACAACGCTTTTTACACGCCAAGCTTGTATCCGTGCAACTATATTGGTAGAAGTAGTAACTAGATGAAACAAATGAAACCCCAGATTGTGGGCATAGTTCAGCAAGGTCAAATCAACCAGAGCAAACTGAAGCATTCAGCAAGAATAAAAGGAATCAAACCAGAACATGCTGCAATGAAGTGATGGAGGTAGAAGGAAGGAAAAATCATTACCCCTAACCTATCTCCTCCGCATATGCCCAGCCTTGGAAGAGTAAAGGAAAGAGTATTGAACTCCAAGTCATGGGAAAAAGGTGCATTACTCCCTCTGCACATGCTCTTGAAGTAAGACAATAGGGAGATATCAGCTAGACCCTCCAGAAAGTAAGAGCAGCCAAAACAGGGATCTCTGCAGATCCTAACAATATCCAGCAGTGCTGACTGTACGTTTGCTACTGTAACTGTTTCCACCTTTGCCATTCCCCTTAATTTCTCTGTATACTTCCTATCTTTGCTCTTTTTCCTTAGCCTTTCTCAACAATATCAGATTTAATTCATTCCCTCTTCATAAAGAGCATTCCATATTCCCCTGAAATGACATTTGTTATCACCCTATTGTCCAGCCTGTGCTCATACTACTTTCCCATAATCTAAATACTATTAGGTTATATACTCTGTACTACTGGGCATGCATTTATACTCATCTGGATAGTGCTTAATTACTACTAGTTCTTTCATCATTACTATAATAAATATATCAGTACAGTAAGTGATAACTATAATTGTACAAACACAATAAACAATAACTGCACTGTAAAAACACTTTTAACAGAGTACAGCTGTAACCTCACTAGGCAATTGCATAATTCTAATTGCATTATTTTTTCTTTTCTGATTTAAGCTGGTGCAAAGAGAACGTCAACAATCCCAAAGAAATATTTCAATGTTATCCTATACCACAAAGCTTAGTCCTGGATGACTGTAAATAGATCAAAAGGAGAAGGAAATATAGCTCTGTAGCAATTAATTCTGATGATCATCCTGATTTTCTATCATCATCAGGACATACAGTACTGATGTAGTTAATACCCACATTTCATCACCTTTATTTACCTAGTTCAAATGACCACTTTTATGGCTAGGTTGGCTATGGTTGTCTAAAGTAAAGACAGACTCTCTGGTTTCATAGCAAATCACTATGCTCACCTGCTCTGCGTCATGCCCATGTGGTCTAACTTACTGAGAAAATAGCACTAACAGAGTTTTCTCAAATTCAACATTCATTAAGAACTTTCCCAGACACAGAGTTTCCAGTGGCTAATATATTTATTAATTAATCTGAAAGCACAGAGGGTCTGTAGGAAATAATATTTTAACCAAGTAGGATTTATTTTCTGTTGAATACTAGAGAATAGGTTCCATGTATGGACAAAAAATTGATTACAGAGCAGTACCTAAGTATGGTTTTGACCAACAGACGGGAAGATAAATCACAGGTAGCTGCCAGAATTCATATACTGTAAGAATAAGAAATGCTGAACTCACAAAAGAGATATACAACTGTATACATTTAACACTGACACACTTCATATTCCTGGAGTATGAAAGTAGCCACAAATCCTGTAAAGTGCTGAGCAAGAAAGTGGGTAGACCAATAGATTCAACACAATGTCAATACTAATATAGTCCAACAGTGATATGAATACAGTCCAATGGAGACATGACACGGCACAAGAGGACACAGGATCAGAGCCATTATTTCTATTCAGAATCAAGCCAGGTGGCTCACTAACAATATTCTGCTGGTGGAACACACACAGCTCTTCACTCAGCATTTTAAACTGTGCACATAAGTAACTTGTATACAAATATGTACCAGAAAACAATCTGATAGAATATTTATAGCTTATATTCCTCACCTGTGCTTTTGAAATTCCTACACCATAAGCATGGAAGACAGTAAATTAGTCACCATTAATACAAAAAAAAAAAGATACAATGATACTTCTGCACTTCTAATATAAATATTTTCATGTATTATAATAAAAAGACAAAATATCATTTATCAAAAATTGCAATTGTATTCGTCCTTCAAAAATAAGTCTATTCAACTGTATCCTTTTTATTGCAATTGGCCATTTGGATTACAGTCTGTAAGAGTAACAGGGTAGCAGCTTTTTTAGCCAGTTCAGACTGACAACGATCCTAGGAAATTAAATTGTAAAAAAACAGGGCATCTTTTCTTGTGTAATCAAAATTTCTCCCTGTGCCACTTAAAGCTAGATGAGCATCTTAGGAGCAATGCTACCCCACTGCAGTCAAAAGCAGGTTTGTTATTGGCATAACTGAGGTGAGAATATTGCCTACTTGTCAGATATAAGAACAATAAGAACACATTTGCCTTTTACCCTACAACAGTCAGATCTTGCAGTCTGGACATTGCTGAGAGTTTTACCATGCAAGTACAACTGGGTTTTATTTACTTATTCATTCATTTGATACAGACTTTTCAATGGTATACACACTTCTCTGAGCACATTGTCTGTAAGCTATTAAAGACTGGGATCACATAGATTCTTCTGGAAATTACATTTTGCTTAAGATGGGCATCATCAAAAGAGAAACCAATCAAGAGAGACATTCACCATGCTCTGAGTGAGGTAATCTGGCTTCTTATGAGACGATAAAGCCATTACAGACATAGGCAGCCTCCGTAGATGGGAGACTACATACAGGAATAAAAGCTTGCTGTGCAGACCTCACATTCATGACCTCATCCAACAGATCCCCACTCAATAAAACTTATGTTACATGGTGATTATGCATCCTCAGAGGAAAACTGAGTATTTGAAAAGACAGTGGTTTATCAAAGCTCTTCTCTCCTTCCCCCAGGAATTTATAACAATCCTATACAAACTTGTATGTAGCACAACTTAATGGCATCAGCTCAAAACAAGAGAAAATCTAATACATAAATAAAAAAATCATGAAAAGCATCCCCAGTCAAGAATCCCAAACCAAACAATGCATCGAAAGTCTACAAACACAAAGCTGTTCAAAGTACCTCAGTGGCTTTGAGGTGACAGCTCTTATTCACAGCTGATAGAGCAGGAAGTTTTCACTGGAGCCTGAAACATATATTCAGCCTCTTGCGAAGACAGTAAATATCTGTTGTAAAGAGAATGGAAGCCATTCCTTTCTTAATTTACCCCAAATTTCATCAGCCTTCTTGACTACATGCTGAATATTACACAGGTAAACTGCAGAAGTACGGATAACAAAATTATAATGTTCCTTCTCCCAGTTAACTAAGATGTAAGTTTAGATTAATAAAATTTTATAAATATTTTTATATATGTGTAATAGATTTTCTGCATGCTGGGGATTAGGGATGAAATTTCAAAATTGGATATAGTATGATAATCGACTACCTTCTTTCTAAATATGGCTCAAATTCCAGGGGTGCTGAATATCTACTGGCATATCTTATCTGGAAGCAACTGAGTTTTCTTCTAAAATCCTCAAGCTCCTCCAGAAATTCCCAACAAATGAGGAAGACCTTACCAGTCCAACACGAGCGCGTTACAGATGAGGTGTGGAGCTCAGCACAATCCACGCTGTCTCTGCAAAATGCCAGCATAGGCATTTTTGCACTGTGCTTCTCAAACTGGAGCTTGAGGATGCAGAAGGACCAGCCCCTCAGCCAGGAACAGCTGGACTCAGCGATGCAGGGAATATTGCCAGTTTTCTGAAGTATGGCTTGGACACACTGAGAACTGCAGACCCAGGCTGTATCAAAAGTAATATTTAGAGTGGAATAATATTTCAGAAGTCCAAGATGCATGGTTCTTTGACCACACTTTTACTTTCAAGTGCAAGTGGTACAGATCCAGGAAGGATAAAGTACAAGGATCCTGAACTATGAGGAAGACAAAGATGATTGTTCTACAGGCATCGTTCCAGTAAAGAAATCCATACCACATTACCATGTGGCAATTGCTCCTGTGTAGCTACATCTAAAAATACTGAGCACCATCAGGGCTTCCTACTGAACAACTCAGAATCCATCTACTTACACAGCATAGACTGGAAAAGTTTGGTATTTCACTCCTGTTGCTTTGTATTCAAAGTTATTTGCTCACTAGTAGGGCAGAGGTTAATTATGTGGGTCTCAAACTGCTGTATCAAAAGGGTTATCCCTGGGGTCAATCTGTGCGCCTCCATTAAAATCATGAAATCACAACAGCTGAAGAAGTACCCTACACCACAACCACTGACTGTAAATAAAGCCTTGAAATAGATTAACTTTGTGCTAACAAGGCAATTAGCTTATTCTAGCCCTGCTTCTGTTGGTAACAATTACAGCTTCACTATTGATCTTCAGAAGCCAGGTGCGTTTTATCCACAGCACATATAACTTCACACCATAAGCCTTCCACTGAAAGGGGTGAGATTATTTGAGTGTAGAGAACTGTATGAGGACAACTGCTAAAATCCAGTACAACTGAATGATGACAGGGTACCATGTTCAGCAAAATTTATGTCCTACAGGGAATGGGAAAGTTGTTTAAGCAATTTACTATCATTTAGGTCTCAAAAGATTCATTTAAGCTGCAGAAGACAAGAATTTGTATTTTATATACAAAATGGGCTTGTATCCTCTTCCTTTCTACATTATTTGATACAAAATTTAATGTCTATTCTCATGTCAGTGAATGAGGACAGAAAATATGACAGCTGACCAGCTATGCACTGGATTGTTATTAATTTTATCTTCGCTTCCCAGGCTTATCAAAAAGATATATGTACCTCAAATATTTGATATTTTGTAACCTTTACATAATACTGATACTCTCATGAATCCCTCTGTCACAAATCCCTCTGACTTCCATATACACATAACCAATGAAAAACTACAGCAAAGGAAATTAAGAGAAAGTATTTGTGAGAGCTAACACAGAAAACTTAACCTGCACCTGAGAAACAAATTAGATTCTTTTTAAAACAGAAGTCCAAAATACTGTTCAAAATTTGTTCTGTCATTTGCTCCCAAATACAAACCTCAAATGAGCAAATATGCAGAGCTTGTTTTGTACATAGATTTTGCCCATTAACATCTCTACTCCAAACTAAGTAGCACTGGGACCATGCTTGCTCCCAGCTCTGCAGCATGCACCCTAGCAGTATACAGTCAAGTATGTTTTAAAATGTACCTATGTCTCTATTTATAGGACTTCAAGAACAGGCAGTAATGTGAGACATTTTCAGCATTTGAAGAACAAAGCCTAAACTTTCTACTGAGAGGATATTTCTCATAAAAGATGACCTGGTCCTTGTTTTACAAAAAGGTTTTATTTCTCAATAGAAAAGTATATTTAAAAACACAATTATTTGCTAAAAGCAATATAAAACTCTCCAGTTTTAACTTCATAAAAGTTTACCAAAACATAAATATTGTTTACCACTTACATTTCTATATACAGACCTTGCATTAGATAGTTAAATAGGTAGAGAGATAACTCAGAAACTAATGGCACACGACTACATGAGAATCAATTCCATGTCACACTGCACAATCACAGGAACACAAGGAGCAGCTTAAAATCCTCAGTCACTGGATTCTGCTTTGTTCTCTTTACAGCTACGTTCCTCTTTTCTCTGCAATAATGCACCAGTTTCCATGGTCATAGCAGGAAGAAAGTATCTTAAGCTCAGGCACATTCTCTTCTACCAGAGAGCACAGCTCCCCTTCCCGAAAAACATGGTAATAACGCATGAAGGCTTTTGTATCCAACATGGCACCAGTTTGGTCCCCAACAGACACTGCTGAATCCAAAGCAGAGTCAGTAGAGTCAGTTGTTGAAGTTCTTTTGAAAAACTTGCTGGGACTAGACTTACCAGCACCATCTTTATTACAACCACAGCTGTAGTCCCTGTCCTCCACTGGGCCATTTATAAATGAAGCTTCTTCACTCTTGCTCTGAGCTACGCTTTGATGTCCTCCATTTAAACTTAAATTCTTCACTGTATCTGTGGCTGGTGGCCACTGTGTTTTTTGGAGAGATAGGCTTTCCACAAACACATCATCATCATCTAAACTTTGTTCTTTTAACAGTGCCCCATGGTGACCTAAATCCAAACTGCAGTGTCGTGAATGCTGAATGGGTACAGTACTGTTTGTCCATTCTCCTTCATTTTTCAGAGGCTTCATATTGTCAGTTTGCTTTCTCAGGGCTGATTCATCAAGGGATCTGGAGAAAAACCATGAGCGGAAAGATCTTCCTAGAGCACTGTAAAATCTGTTTTCTTCTTCAGAAATTTTCATGCAGCATGCTCTGGATAAGCAATGGTCCGTATTGTGGGAATGTTTTGAATCAGTTTCTGGATGCAGATTGGTTTGGTAGCTGCAGTCAGAGATGACTACCTGTGCAGGGTGTATGTCCTGGCTTTTTACAGCATTCACAAACTCACCCTTATCTCCAGATTGATTCGATTCTGAAAAATGCCGTGAGCACAAGGCCTTGTTCCAAGGAACAAATACGTCTTGTTTCTCAAAGCGACGATTCTTTTGTTCCATAGCCCAAACATAAATCATCATCTGGCCTCCGGGTATCAATACCCTTGCCATTTCCTTGACTGCTTTGATTCTTCTTTGTTTAGTTGAGAAATGATGGATCACTGCAAAAAAAATTAAAGGCATCATGTGTTGAATATTAGTAAAGGCACAGCATTTTCATCTTCAACCTGTTTATGTGTTCAGTCATTTTAGTTGCCATATCCCAAATATCACTCACTGCAAGTCAGCGACAGTGCTGAATTTATTGGTATCACTGTGCAATTTTACCCCAGAATGCTCTCTTTTACCTTTATGTTCATTGGATAAAAATGGGAAAATCCCAAAGAAGGAAATTCATCTCATCTCAGAATATTGATTCAAGAAAAGTCAGGCATATAAGCAGGAGGTTTGTGTTTCTCTGCATCACCCATAAAAGATCATAGCATGACTAGCTTTCACTTAAATGCCTGGCCTTTAAGTGATTTAGGTAATATTAAGTCTGACTTTAGTTTTTGGGACACTTTTCAGACTTACCTTACTGAAAACAGATAATCTTTTCACCATGTAACAAATACAGCGAAATGTAATGTCAGTAAAAAGATTTTCTGTATTTTTATACCAGTACATTTTCAAAAGAGCTAGTGAGAAAATGTAGCCAAATATTTTCCATTGCTTTAATTCTGTAGGAAGGTATTGCCTTTATAGATTGTTTTGAAGGAAAAAAAATGAGAAGTATCTCCGTCTACATTGCATGTCTAAGAAGGATCATTTTTTTGTTACATTATGTTATGTTATTAAAAAATATAAAGTCAAATTCAAAATGAAACTACTGATCACTATATCTGATTTTTCTTTCCAGGATAATTTCCACATTTTCAGATTTCACTGCAATGTGAACTGAAGCTACATTTCAAGATTTACACACTGTTTCTATATTTCTAATTACCTGAAGGAATCAGTTTTAACAGCCAGAAAATAGCTAAGGCAGCTATTTTCTTTCAAAAGTCTCAGAAACATTAATTTGTACTGAGATTGGTCATGTTGTTCTATATGTCATCAGTACTAGATTTGGTTCAATCAATGACATAAAGAGGGCTGATTCCATAATTTGTTTCAAGTGGACTTGGAGCCAGCCACTTGACAGCGGCTGTTTGACAGTAACCAATTCTACTTGTAGAAATAGTGTAATTTCAACACTGCAGTTATGAAATGTGTGTCCAACTAGCCCTGTCTTTATTCAAAACAATGATTAAATTACCAAGGGGAAAAAAATGTAGCTTTTTTACCACAAGCCAAGAAAAGCATTGTTGGCAGCTGATACTAACTAGGCCCTCACAAGCAGCTGAGAACACAAGATAGAAAACTCTGAGAAGAATTCCCCAGTCTATATGGTCAATCTCTGTTTCCAGGTACTCCTGATTCTTGTCAATATTTTCTCGAACTTCGCAAAAAAAATATAAAATGCTATTTCAATTTCTTGAACAAGATGTAAAGAAAGGAACTGATATTTTCTGTCATACTGAAGTTAGGCCATATATCACCACTGAATCTCTTGCAAAATAATATCAAAACTGACAGAGACAGCATAAGCATTCGGGTTTAGTTCATCATAAAGAAGTGCCAATCAACCGACAGACTGTGCAAACTCTATCTAAGCAATTCATTCAATAGATTAAATATTCTTCATTGTTAAAATTATATATTCACTCTGGTAGTTCTGCAGAAATGTAAATCCTATAAACAGGATTATACCAGCAAATCCATGAAGAGTATTTGACTATGTACGTAAATGCTTGCTATTCTCTGGAACAGGATGAAAAAAATTATTTAGAATTAGATGGACAGAAGCATACCATGTCTCTATTCAAGAGGGATTAAAATCCATTATTGTTAAATGTACAGAAATACCATGTGAACTTTCAATCTTGTCAGGCTTATAATTGGTATAAACATTAGATAGATACGCTATCCTTCAAAGTCAGCTGATCTGATAGCACTGAAATTGTGCTACAGGACCTGAAATGTGGATATGGCTCACCAGTTAACTAACCAACATGAAAGCAAAGTAATACGGATACTGCTTGCATATTAGTCACCCTTTCTTTCATCCTGCATATGTGAAAAATGCATTTAAAAATACATTTCTATCATATTTCAAGTAGTTCATTGATTGTCACCAATATTAATTACCGTGCTTTACATTTTTGCTGATACACTGAAACAGCCTGGAAGTTCAAGCAAGAGTAGAGCTAAAAATGTAACTGGGTACTCTAACTATTCCTCATCTACCCTTTCCCAGTTTATATTTCTCAAATTATGAGTAATATTTTCAAAAAGAGAGGTCAGAGGAGTTAAGATGCTGAGATGCTTCACTCATTTTAGACAACAGGCACTTGTATGGCTCTAAATTCTTATTTTATGACTATTCTGAGAAATTTGCATTTGTAATACGTAATAGTTAACAGTTTCAAGCTCTGCTATGGAGAAAGCAAGTTTTCCTTTCAATGCATTTGCTGGTCAAAAGAGATCTGAAGGAGGAACCAAGAGTTTATCTTGACCACCTAATCTGTTTAAAATGCAAGCAGCCATGTTTACATTAGTTTTTACTTGTTTAAAATGCATACTGGAAGGAAATCTTTTCTCCACAGGGTGAACAAGACCACATATAAACAAACAAATGATCCGCATACTTCCCTGGTCAACAGTGACTCTGTGCAGTGGAACTAATTTTTTTTTTTTTCATGCTTACTACATTCATTTCAGTAATATTTGGTGTGATTCTAGGGGAATTGTTTCAAAACACTTAACTGAAATGAAAATACATGGAAAGAAAAGGTTTCCCCAAAATTCTCATTTGCTGTGGGCCAGAATGCATGTATGTTGTCTTACCTCCAATGGAAATGACTGCATTGAAGCATTGGTCCCTAAAGGGAAGGTTAAGGTTGTCACATACCAGAACTTCATCATCTTTCTTCCTTGCAATCTCTACCAATGGCCCACAGTAATCACAGCCGAGATTATACACCTGACTGTTGACACTGAGATACTTTCCAGTTCCACAACCTAAAGAAAAGAATACTAGATCAGAAGTCGCATGTTCCAAACATCTCCTATCCCTCACAAAGCAGTGAAAATAACGGGAGGGATTTCCTAAATTCTAAGGTTTCCAGGAAAACAGTATGAGGACTTGTTCCTACTAGCCTAACTGCTGCAGGGTTCGTCTGGACTGTTTGAAATTATATGATCACACCATTAGGAGTGTAACAGTTCCAACATCACCAACAAAAATACTCATGACACAGCCCTGTGTAATAGCAGGTTATGTGTATTTTTTTGTGGAATAAGGGTAAGTGCAGGTGGAAGGAGGAAGAATTGGTCCTCTGAAGCCGCTACTGCATATCTTAGAGAAGAAAAACAACCATGCTGCTTCAAACTGAGACTTTACATAGCCTGGTATCCTGTTTCAAACAATGAGCATAAACGGGCATCCAGGAAAGAGTAAGAACAGGGTAAGCATTATGACTGTTTTCCTCAATACCCTTCCAGCTTCCAACTACTTTCTGTTTAGGGGATTTCCTGAAGCCAGTGTGTTTTGTCTTTTTTAGTTAACTGCAATAGATCTCTCTTTCAAGTCCTTCCCCAGTCTTTGTTAAACACCAGTCTTCCCCAGTTTTTGCTAAAACCTCCCCAGTGCATCCCTTTTCCCTCCAAGAAGTCCCAAACAACAGCCGTCACTGACATAAGTCAGAGAGGAAAATTTTGACTTCAGATACAGACTTGAAATTAACCATGAATCATAAAATTCCTGCCATGTCGCAGACACATCCTCTTTCTGTCTTTGTGCCAATGCATTATAACGCATGTAAATGTAATGAACTCTTCCAGAATGTCTTCCACCTAAAAGTATGTCTTTTCAAGGACTGTGCTGGACTAAATTGAAATCTTTCAGAGTGTTCTCCAATACGGTATGCATAACAGGCACTTTTCAAAATTAGATTAGGAAACATTCACTGCAGTTATGGGTCAGTAGTGAAGAATAATTTCTGAAAGTTGACAGCCAAGCATCGGGGTAGCAGCTTGGCAAAGAGAACCATCTCAGTACTGGTAATTCAATTTAAAGGCCTGGAGTTATCTTTAGAAACATCACTGCTTCTTGCAGCGCTGCTGCTCTCATTGCTCTTAATGTGGTCCATTATGCAGAGAGACAGCACAGGAACTGTTGGAGAACAGCACAACACTTCAGTGGTGAAAAAAAGAGCATATTTCTAAAGCAAAAAGCAAGCACTATTCTTTGAAGTAACACTTGAGAGGAATGGAAAAGATTAATATTGTTAATGCAGTTCAAAGAATATATGAAATAAAACATGAAGCTCTGCGTGTTAATTAGAAAGTATAAATTTTAAAAATAGAATAAGGTATTATTGGTTACTGTGTTTGCAGAGGAACACATTTAGTCAAACATACATTCATTGAGAAGATTCAGTTGTTTAATACGTGGTTGTTGTTGGAGTGCTTTTTAATCACAGTGAGTTTTTGGAAGTATAAGGTCCTCTGTGGAATAGTGGCAATGCTCCCAGTACTCTAAAAATCTACATCTGCAGGAGATTCACTTTTAAATGAGTCACCAGGAGGTGGATTCCTTCACGAAGATGTTAACAATGGCCATGTTTTTGTCATATATTTTGATGAATGAACAATAATAAGGCAATTAGACAAAATGATATTTTATTCCACTACCATTACCATGCTTCATGTAAAGGTAGTAAACATTTTTTTTTTTTTTTAATAAAAGGTGGTATTAAACAGAAAAGGAAATTATCAGTTGAACATCTCATTTTGAAAATTTTGGTGCCACTAGGCAACCCTCCTCCCAAAATACATACCAAAAATTATCACAGCAGTCAGATTCCTGTAAATCTTATGAAACCTCATAAAATTAGGTACCTTGTGTGCCTTGATGGGAATATTCTTATTAACAACTGTAAGCATCTACCTTCTCTCCAGATGTGTCACATGCATTCAAAGTATTTCAGCTGAAATTGTAACAGACTGATCTTAAGCTTTCAGCAACCACTGTGATGCCTGCTGGTAAAGCCTCAAAGAACTTCAGCTAAGCTTCAAATGACTTGTATTGAGGTGACAAAAAATTTTGGCCAAGAAATACCTTGTTAAGATGGCTGTTGAATGACTGTATACCATGGGTTATTTCCTGAGATTATTAGTGAAAATGGTGCACACATATAAAAGAAAGCACATATTCAAAATAACAGCAATCGAGTATTTTTGGGGTACTGCTCAACAGCAGCAGGATAATTATATATTATCTTTGATGATGGTCTACAGCATCTTCAAAGAATGGTGTTCTCGGATAGAGTAAGGCAGATGCATAATTTTTTGTGTACGTTTATTACACTTTGCTGCCTAAAAGCATTTTATTTGTCTAAACAGTGAGGAAAATCCATTGATGCAAAAGGAGCATCTTGTTTGCAATGATGTGCTGTATAGCACTGAAGTCCTAACACAAATACAAAGCAAACACACCAGGATCTGTAAACCCCTAAAAAGTCTTGAGGTGCAACAGAAAATCAAGATATAAATTGAACATGTAGGGAAGACAAGGCCATAGCAGGAAACATGTAGGGAAGACATAGCAGGCCATAGCAGGAAAATTAGGTTTTAGTGTCTTGGTATTAAGGATTATAGGAAGATACTCAGATCATAAATTTGTTATTTTTAACAGTGATCACATCAGGTTTCTCTTACGTTAAAGCCTCGATAGAAGGAGTTTTAGAACAAATGAAAAGCATTAGATTGCAGATCAGCAGTACTTAAGCCAATAGGTCTAAAGAAACTGAAATATGAAATAATTGAGCCATTAACACCATTTTTTAAAAAGGACTCCAGGGCAATGACAGACCACTAAATCCGTGGGGAAACTGGCAGATTAAGGCTTAGCTCAGTCAAAATAAGGCAAAAATTGTATTTATTGGTTACCTGATACACTGTCAAGGAAATAAACCAAGAGGTATATGGCATCTAATATGAGTTTAAAAACAATTTTAAAGCAATCTTTAGAACAAATTTAAATGAGTTTTTAAAACAATTTCTCTGAAGGACACATATGATTAACATATAAACTAATAAAGTCTATAGACAACCTTTCACACCACCTGAAGGATTGGCTTACCTATGTCAGCAACGAGACTGCCAGGCTTTTGCTCCAGCAGAAAGTTTCGAACACGAGGCCAAGCTTTGCTCTGCAGATCATTAAAGTAGGCAGCTGTATTTTCATACACACTATGCACGTGCTGCTTTTCTAGCTGGGTAGCCTCATGTTCCATCCTGAAAACATAATGAAGAAAGATTATGTACAACAAAACACAAACTGTTGTAGCGTAGACTTCACATTTTATAGACATGCATAATTCAGGACCTTGTAAGTTCACATTCATATAATCACTACACCCATCTAACAGCCATCATATTTATAAAACGGTCCTTACTAAAAGGATCTGATTTTATTTCATGAAAGCCACGAAAAAAAATCTGAATGTATGATCTTGACTGAAAAGCATTATATAACTGCACATGCCTATTCAAGAATATGCACATTCCTAGATAAATTCACCAATCTAGTAAAAGCTTATCTGGTGCAAAAAGGAGCCTGTATTCAGCAACAGTGCAGAATGATTAAGTCCAGTAGGTAGGCAAACTATTAGTATATGTCATTTGAAATACAGACGGGACCCTGAAACCAAAGCCCCTAAATCATGCATAAATTATTTGTGGTTTATCTATCCTCTAGAAGTAATCAGTTGGTTGAAATTTTTCAATAACAAAACCATGATTTCCCTACTCCTACTCCACTATCTTCATTTCTTAGCAAAGTATTTCATTTTAATGAGTCATTTGAAGAGTGGTATCTTCTTAGACTTTTAATATTACTCCTAAACTCATGTAAAACACCAAGTGGATGTAGACACTGAATCCCTTTACACAGAATCTTACATCTTCTTTAAGATTTCTCCTCATCCAAGCATCAATCAAGTCAGACTTTAATATCTGATGGAGGTTGATGAGATCACATTTCAAAGTGTTAAAGCATTCTTCAAACTAATTCAAACTGCCTGTTTTTTCAGGAAATATTCCTTCCCATTATTAAAACAGAACTTATTTAATTGTCCAACTACTCAGCAGAGATTAAAGCCCATTTCCAAACTTCTTCCAATAAATTAAGCAATATATTATCAAGACAAAATTATAAAAGTGACTCCTTTGGCTGCATTTGAAAATGTCAGAAGCAAAGACTTCAAACACACAACAAGTTCTTCCTTTGCTATCCTTGATTTTCAAATAATATACATTTTGTAATCATAATAAAAATATTTCTTTCTGTCACTTTTACTGTTGAAATAACTTAATATGAGAAAATATTTTAAATATTACATATAAAAACAAATAATGTGAGGTCTTCAAAACACCTGTCCTACAAATACAATCTTTTTAAGTTAGAAAATGGGAGTTAAACCCCATCACTGCAAAAAATAATAAAATCATGTACTCCAAGTTAAGCATATGTGAGCGCTTACAAGAATAGTATATAAGATTTGATCCATTTCTCTGGTTTTATGTACTCTGCTGTGTAAGAAGTCAGGCCAAATTGTTACAGTTGTCACAGACTATTCTGGCTGTAGTATCTCTTAATATCTCTCTTCAAAACACTGATGTTCAATGTTTTCACAATCCTTGCATCCTTTTTTTCTGGCATGATCCACAAATTTCTATTATGATGCATTAATTCACCTTTTACTAGCCGAATATATATACCTATATATATATATACACACACACATACATATACACATAAAATTCAATAACAGGATAGTAAATTCCTAGTAGGCACATTTGCAGTGTCCTCTTGAAGAATGTTAAACTATAACAGACTGAACAAGAGAGGCAGACAGTATTAAAACACAGACTTGAAATGTTACATGTGCCAGCAGTTACTCAACCATAACTTTTTCCAGAATGCCATTTCAAGTTATGTTGTCAAATAGAACAGGTTAGTTGCAGTAATTTCAAATAATTATTCCTTAGAGTCAAAAGCCCATTCTTTTTTTCTTCTTTGACCCTTTAATAAAACAAATTGGGTGTTTCATGTCTGCTGCTATCTTTCTTCTCTGTCTCAAAACATACTCTATTTTGTTGTTCAATTGCCTAGAAATCCTCTGTTTATAAGAAGAAATTCCAAAGACTAACAATCATTTATATTCTTTTGCCATGTGATATGCCCCTTGCTCTAGTTTATATTTCATGTTTGGTTACTCTGTGGTTCAGTGTTTCCAAGTGTTTTTATCTTTCCACTTGAAGCCCTTTGTCCAATCTTTGCAGTTCTTAAAAAAAAACAAACACAAAAGCCAACTTGGACTTGACTTGGAGATGGTAAGAATTTTCCCACTGATCCAATGTTATATTGTACTTTTCCTAAAATGTCTTTATTGAATTCCAATGTAGGCTGTAATTTGGCTTAGTTTCCTACTGAATCACAAGACCAGTGTGTTTTTCCTTTAACTTTCTCATTCACTGGGACTGGTACTGAGCCTTCTTCTATACGGGACATGCTAGAGACTTCCATGTATTACAACACTGCATTAGAGGTTATTATTTTTAGATACACTTAATAAACATTGTCAATACAAAAATTTGGTTATAATCTTAGAGTAACACCAGTGTACAAATTATTTCTTTTACTGTTTCATTACAATTGCCATTTCTGCTGATTGTTTATGTTTTGTAGATAATTAAGTCACATGATGAAATTAGACTTGACAATTTGACTTTCCAGTCAAGATCCATAACACTATCAGGCTTTACTTTGCAGCACAGCAGGGAAATATCCTAGCAATAAATCTCTCCATTCCAATGTTTACGAAAGGCAAGAAACCTATGGATTCTGACCGGACCTGCAGCTCTATCAGTTTCATACAAGTCTAATGTCACTGAAAACATCAGAAATTTGGAACTATGTAACTTTACAAGCCAAACTCAATACTTCAATTTCTCTTTATAAACAAAACCAACCATTACAACTTTTTTTTTTGCCTTCAAAGTACCAGACAGTGTCTCTTTTGCACATAAATTGTTGAAAATGTTCAGTTCTGGACCGTAACTTCCAGGATAGCTGCAAAGTCTGTTTTGCAAATGAAGTAATGAAAATCCAAGATGTCTAGAAATTCCACTGCTTCAGCATCTGCTCCAGTTCTCATTTAAGTTACCTGGAAGCTGTCCGATAAGTGAGCAAAGAGGAGGAGAAGAACAGAAGGTGGTAATTATAGACACACTTTCTCCATGCTCAATTCTTCTTTTTTTTTTCTTTTGCAGTAGCTTATACTCCTGTCAAAGGGTTCACACAGAGACTTGGTGCAGAGGAGGGAGTGTGCAGTAAATTGGCACCCAGCTGTTCAGTCGCTCTGCAGCAAGTCTTGATAAGTCCTCAAAACATGGATGCAGCTTAAGAAATGTGAGACTCCTACAAACAAGCAGTTTGGATAACAAATGAAGAGCGGGATTCTCTACCCTTTCAATGCTCCCTGGTCATCAAGATTCATTCACGAGACTACAACAGGTCCTTGTTCCAGCTGAACTATGAAGTGAGAAAACTGGATGGAAGTTATAGTGTCATTTCTGTTAAACCTGTGTGGAAATGGATCACCAGTCCATTACATGTACCTGTGGTATATGAAAAAAACTATTTGAAAGTAAATAGGCCATAGCCCATTGACTCTTTCCTACATTTCTGCTTTCCTTGTCAAAAAAAAAAAAAAAAAAAAGACAAAATAAGTAAACTAAAATATTACAGCTCTCCAGGAGGTAAAAGGAATTGAACAAACATATGATATCGTATATTTTCATAGCTACACATCTCACTAAAAGTTTCCTGACTCCAAAGTAATCTAATTTCTTCCTTTTCCATTAACATTTTGAAACCTTTTAGATTATTATTTTTTCAAGGATACTGCTTTAAGGAAAGTCATGTTGCTTGGACATTTTCTATCACTGCTGAAGTAATTTAAACATGTGACCTTGAAATGACAACAAGCAAAAATTAATAATCCCAGTTTCCAACATTTTAAAAAGTCAGAATTATTTTTATTTGGGAATTTTTTTCCCCCAGACTTTTTAAAATTTGTTTTTGAAAGTGTCTGATTTGCAATTTTGACTAACTGTATGAAATACTTCAGCCTCAAATGGACAAAACAGTTGCTGGCTCCCAGATGCAAGGGGTGACCTAACACTGAAGCGCAGGAGGTAGTGTTCAGTCCAAAACCTCTGCCTCTACCACAGCCCACCCAAAGCTTTCCACACCTTCCTGCAGTTCTTCTGAATCCCTTGCAGCCCTCCTCACCCACCTCAAGTTATTCCTCCCATCCGCCTAAGATTTTCACATCTTCCCCTGTCTGCTTTAGCATGTGCTATGTCACCACCACTATTTTAATTTGATGTATAATACTGTGAAGTCTTGACCTGGCTCATGTTCAGCTCCTCCTTGCCTCTGTTTCCAGGCCAGTCACAATATGCAGAATGCATTCCAAACTTTTTGTCAATGGCCTCTTGGCAGCACCCTGTGATTTTCACGATAGTCATCAAATCCTGCATTGCTCCTATTTATCTTCAGATCAATTGCTCTTGAATAATTTGAGCCACAGGTTTTCCTTTTGTCTTCTCTCTTGCAACTGCCTATTTTCTCTAACCCTTTGATGAGCATCAGAAATTTACTCAACTCAATTTGAGAGACAGACAGGCAAGATTTCAGTCTATTTATGATGGCCCCTCTTCTTTACACTCTTCACTCTGTAACTGTGAAGCACTGTGCACTGATGGGAATACTCAATCCCATTTTGGATTAGGAGAACTACTTCAAAGATCTAGGAAATTCAGCATAGTTGTGTCTCTCTATGTTGCTACAGCAACATAGATTTTGGTTACGCATTCAACTCCAGCTATGGATGCAATAACCTAATTAATCACTGGCCTTAAATCAAACAGTCTAAACCGTGAGAGCCAGGTCTATGTCCCACAATACCCAGCTCTCCAGCAATATTATGTGCAGTTGTAGCTGATACTGACAGTAAGGTAAAAAGTGAGGTAATCCAATTTTCATTCTCTCCCTTCATCTACAGAACAGGGAAACTATCCATACAGTGAGCAATACTTTCAGGTTACTTCCAGCTTGCTTCAGACTTACCAGTCTTTTCACTCAAGTATAAGTAACCATGGAAAGCTAAGTGTACAGCCCTAATGGTCACCTATAAACCATAGTCTTTTTTTCCAAGCAAATACAA